GAGAGCTTGCTTGTTCCATGTCTTCAGAATCAAAGCATTCCATAGCCTGCATGTCCTCCACTCAAATATATATTAGGCAAATACAAACTCTAAGTCAAAAACATATTAGAGAGGTTCTGAGTTATAATTGAAAATACACCATCCTAAAAGTACTTTCAAGTCTCCAAGGGCATATATCATATGCAGAACTTGTTCCCATACGGAGTCTAAGTCTTTAGGTCCAGAGTGGTGCCTTCTAGTCTGTATTCCTAGCAAGCTTCCCAGGCTGCCTGCGCTGTTGGCCCAGAGGTCAGACTCTGGGGAGCAAAGATCCGGAAGACCTGGTTTCAGGTACTGGCTTCTCACAGCCTCAATATTCCCACCTGTAAAATAAGGGACTTTGGACTGAAATACCATTTAATTCTGAGCAGCAGCAGTGTCGTGAGGAGTGGAGAGCAGAGAAGACTGGTTTGTGTGAAGATTATATTCCTGCTCTGAGTTTTATGGACTCCCCATTATAACACTGTGAAGACGGAGTGGGAATATGAAAACAAGCGAGGTGGCAAATGCAGTTTGTATTCTGATAATTTCAGAGTGTTTCCAGTGTTATTCACATCGTGCCTTTGCTAATATTCAAAGATCTGGCTTTAATTATGTCACACAATCAACAAATGAATCTTCTAATTGTGCTATTTCTCTCAGAAAAGCTGTGAGGTGGGCTTTAGTCTGTCCACAGGATGCCCAGTGGGACAGTCCGATTACCCAGGAATAATCCAACATAGGCCCCCAAAATTTTTACCTTTAGATATGAAACATAGTTTTAACTAGAGTGGAAGTAAAGATACAGCTTGATAATACATTTTTTTTTGCTCATCAGTTTTGGAGGAATTTAGTACCAGTTTGAAATCTTTCGCATCCTTCTCAGATTCTCCCTTCTCAGTGAAACCTTCCCAGAGGCCATGGGCAGAATTAACAGTCACCTATTATGCCTCCAGAGGGGGTCAGCATCTTGTTGTTGGGCTCATTCAGTTATGCTCCTATTGTCTTCCTGTCTCACTTGAGGGTTTCAGCCATGGACAAGTTCACTATGGATTCAGTGAGACCGAAAAATTACAATGGAACATTGTGGGTAAAAAGGGGCTGATACCAAGCTTTCTTCTCATGGCCATAGGTCGAGCACTAGAATCCCATTTGCCTCCATCTCTGTGTCTGGCTCAGCCTCTGCCCTACACTTTGCCCTTGCGTCCAGCCTCTGCTCTTCTGTCTCCTGCTCTATTCCCTATGCTCTGTTCTTAGCACCCGGGAGCTCTTTTTATAGCAATACTGGCAGTAATGGCTTATTGCCAGTGGGTATACAAGCATGCGCCTGCACAGTGAGCTAAGTATTATATCATCACATGTATACAATGGGATTAAGTGAGGATCCTGGCTATGGAACTTCCATTTTTCCCATACTCCCTCACTGAATTATGAACTCCTTAAGCTGTCCTGATGGAATAGAGAGTTCGAGAACTTGGAGGCCCAGTATTTGAATGCACACTTCACTGGTCTGTCCTGGTCCTTTGTCCCCAGGAGGCCATGGAAAGTCATTGTCTGGATGCCACTCTCTGTAGTGGTCATGATCAGATAGGATTGTTGGGAGGGTGACATGAAATAATGGGTGTGAAACTGTGTCCCTCATTCCTGGGTTACAGTAAGCATTGGATAAGGTTTTGTTAAGTTTTTCCTCCTCTAAGGTCAGGTGTCATGACTTACAAATCGTTATATTTCTAGCATTTCAGGAAAAGCCATGTACAACAAGTGCTCAATAATTCTTTAAAATGACTTTAGTATCTTCTCTTCCTGGTGATTGGGATGTATTTACTTTAGACGTAGAAATAATACAAGATGGAGAGATAACTCTTTGGTTTTCCCCTGCTTGCTTTTTTCATATACTTTCCTGAAACATATGAAATGTATTTTGAAGTAGTTTTTAAAATTCTGACATAAATTCATTTCTGGTTGGCTTAGTTTAGAAATCCTAAACACAAGAAGAGGAAAGATGAACATTACCTAGGAAAACAAAAGACCTATATTTAACAGGTAATCCCTATAGGGTATCCATTTTTATTTATTTATATGTATAAACTTTCTAGGAGAATTAGAAAACCAACAATTGATAATAGTTACCTTGGGAAGAGGCTCAAAGGTGGGAAAGATGGAGACCTTTGTTTCATTTTATAAATTTCTATGTGTTTTGAATTTTTGGCCATGTAAGCATATTTGGGCTTTTAAAAATTAGTAAGGATATGTGGGGAATTGAAGGATAGACCATTTTTATTTTATGCTTTTTATATACTGAAACCCCAGATAAGTATATTTTAAAATTTTATTTTCAAAGGGCTTCAGTACAAGGTGCTGATGATAAATGAGGGTTGTCTGCCCTTTGTCAAGTCACTAAGCTTTTGTCATAACAGGAGTGAAGGACAAGCTCAGCTCCTTCAGCCTTTACTACCTCTGAGCTTTTAAAAGTGCCTGAAATTGGGTTGTGTCCTCATGCTGCTGCTGGGTAGGAGAAGTCCAGCATCAAGTTATGAACCTTTCAAGTGCTAGAGTTCATCACCTCGCAAAGCTATGATCCAGCCTGGTGGAGACGAGGCTGCAGGCAACTCTCAAGAGGGGAACAGGAGGAGATAGAAACCAGCCAGTGGGAGCTTATCCCTCCTGCTCCAGTAAAGCAAGGGAGCTGCCCTCTTTGGAACACAGAGCAGGAGTCTTCATAGCAAGATACTGGACTTTTCATTTTTACTCTGGCACCACTGGGCTGTTCTCAGCATGACCCCTCACCCCCACCAAGGATTGGGGATGTGCCCGTTTAGAATGTCTGAGAACAAGTAATGCACCCTTGTTTGATATGTGCTTGGCAGATGAAGGAGCCTTTCCTCCTACCTCCTGTCTAGCATTTTCTACCACCAGCCACCCTCAGGTTCTATGAGGGTGGTATTCAGCACATTTGAGGTACTGCTTTCCGTTCTAGGTGGGACCACCATCCAGGGGTCCAGGCAAACGGGGATATTTGCTCTAGAGAGCAGCCAGGATTGTTAAAGAAATTGTAACCAAGTTATACATAGAACTGCTGACAGGCTGTAATGTGGTCACCACTCACTTTTCTGTGGTCAAATAATTAACTTCTCTGTACCTAAGGTTTCTTGCCAATGAACTGAGCTTCCATAATATTAACCACAAAGGGCTGTCTAGAGGGTTAAATAAAGTAATTCATGCCAACACTTTGAGCTATTAAGGGTTCGGCAAGTGCTAGTGACCATATTTTGTTCCTGGGGCTGGAGCTACAAGAAATGTTCCTCAGTCTTTAGATTTCAGTAGCCACAGGCCACTCCTGATCTGTGGGAGGCCACTTTCTGACTTCTAGGCATTTTTAAAGACATAGATATTATTATGAAGAAGCCTAGCATATGCTGCATATGCACTTTTCTGGGGGAATCGGGCTGCTTTTGGAATTCCTTTGCCTTGTGCCGATCCAGTCTTTAAGTTGTCTTCTGGACATGCACTGGCCTCATGATACGAGTAATCTCTTGATTGAGAAGGATGATCTGTGTATGGGCAGCCCACAGTGCAGAGAAAAAAACGCCATCCCTCCCAGACAAAGAATGACCGCCCACCTCTTTGTAGTACCCGAGTCTAAATAAAAAGAGCTTTTCTTTGGTCGTATGGTACAATTGCTCCCGCCTTTCCCCTTTTGCTGCAGCTTTCTGTCCTTGGCTGTCCATGAGGAGCAGCTGCATGTCACTGATGTGTGGTTCACCAGACTACCACACCTTCTCCTTCTGATTCTCATATTGATCCATTAAGTGTGTCAAGGAAATGAATTCAGGGTGAATGTTTAAATGGGGTATTTCCCAAACGAATCTAAGGCAATAAATAAACCAGCCTTTTTTTTTTTTTTGCTTGTCACTTAGATGCTGCTGAGTATCTTGCATGTGCCTTTGAAAAGGGACTGTTCAGATGGTGTTTTGGTGAAGCAAGGGAAAAAGCAGAAATAGATGAAAGATGTAGTAGCAGCTTTTTTTAACACAACATCCAAATATAACAAACTTCATTTCCTCTAGACACTGCACATCCTTTTAGAAACCACCCTGAAATAACATTTGCCATATCTAATATTATTTCATCCTGAGAAAGATTCTGGACAGGGCTTATGGGGGACCTGGTAATTTAGAAGCAGCAAGTGAATTTAAAAATTCAAATGTATAGCCTCAGTGATGCCAAGAGGGACATCTATCTGGCTCTCTGTTTTCCGTGTTTCCCTTAGGGAGGCAGAGTCATCCATGAAAATAACAATTTTCAAACCACTAGCAGCTATTTCCCTTTCCTTAGCTCCTTAAGCTCCGTACTCCAAGAAAAAGTCTTCTCTAATGAGCAGAGTTTAAAACTATTTTAAGATTAACTCTTGTAATCTCTAAACCACCTTCTCCAGTTTCTCCTCCTTCCTGAGGAAGGGCCTGGGCTTTCATTAGGGACCAGAGAGAAAGAAGCTGCGGGATCCTCTAGCAGGTCCCTAAGAGTCTGGTCCTGGCCTGGGTCACCTGCTGCAGGCAGAGACTTGAGACAGGCTGGGGGATCCATTTTTACCTGGGAGCCCTGGACTCAGGCTCCCATACTGGCCTTGTCATGGTGCCAGGCAAGGCCTTCACACCAAAGGTGACGTGACTGCGAGTAGCCTCCAGGACTGGTCCGGGTGGAGACTTCCTATGCTGCCCGCTGTGTACCCACCCCCAGGAGGCTGGAGAGAAGGTGACTGTTGTGTCTTTTGCCCTTGCTGTTGGCCAGGCAGCCAAAGATAGCCACAGAGCTTCCTTTCCAATTTGAAAGCTGATTCGTGTGTCCTGAAGGATATATATATATATTTTTTTAATTTTCTCTTGCAAAGTTCTGGAATGTATTTTGTCCCTTGTCCATTTGCAATTACTTGTGTCATTTACTCACAATCTCTGATGTGTTTCTTTGTTTTCTGTGTGTTGCAGGCAGCTTAGTGTACCTCGGGATGATGACAGGGGCATTCTTCTGGGGAGGCCTGGCAGACAAAGTGGGAAGGAAACAGTCTCTTCTGATATGCATGTCGGTCAACGGATTCTTTGCCTTCCTTTCTTCATTTGTCCAAGGTTATGGCTTTTTCCTCTTTTGCCGCTTACTTTCTGGATTCGGGTAAGGTTTTCTCCATACTTTATAGCAATATGTTTCTTTTTAATAGTCGTATGTGCTCCCCACTCCAAAGGACCTCATTGCCAAGAAATTATCCCTTAACACATCTCCTTCCCCAGCTTCACATCAGCCTTAGAAGCCACACTACTGGTTCTTAGAAATATAATTATTGACTTTTAAATCCAAAATAGAAGAGAACACATGTCTATGTTCTTGTCATTGATTCTTTTAGTATTTTATTCATAGGAAATGAGTATTGCTTTAAATGGAATATTTTTTCTATTGTTTCTATTACAATTGCAAGTTGAAGAAAAGTTGTAATTTCTGTTACAGATTCAGAAATGTGTTTTTCTTTTGAAAATTTAAGGAAGAAATAGCTCTGGTCCTACCTATTATGATCTGATTAAAGGTTCAAACCATTCAAGCATGCACTTAAATCCAGGATGAAAGCATCTCAAGTAAATGTTGTTTTATTGATCTATGTTAACAGCATATTTAATTAGGTAGGAGGCTTGTTTCTTGAGATGTATAGGTTCTTTTGTAAGTTCATGAATTCTGTTGAATCAACAAAAGTGTGCTATCCGCCAAGTACAATGGCCTAGTACCAGAGTCCCCCTTATCTGTGGGTGATACTTTCCAAGATCCCTAGTGGATTCCTGGAACCATAGAAAGTACCAAACCCTAGATATACTATTTTTTTTCCTAAACATACATACCTCTGATAAAGTTGAACTTATAAATTAGACAGAGATTAATAATAACTAGTAATAAAATCAAACAATCATAATAATATACTGTCATAAAAGTTATGTGAATGAGGTCTCTCTCTCCAAGTATCTTATTGTACTGTACTCACCCTTGCTCTTGTGATGATAGATGATTAAAATGCCCACATGATGGGATAAATTAGGTAAATGACATAGGCATTGTGACATTGTGTTAGGCTACTACTGACCTTCTCACCGTATGTCAGGAGGGTCCTGCTCCTTGACTGCAGTTGACAGCAGGTAACAGAAACCAGGAAAGCAAAGCCACAGAGAAGGGTGACCACCGTATAGCAACGGTTTTGTCATTTCCTTTAAAGTGCTTGAAGCACTTATTACTCTACTAAGTGAATCCACAGTTTAGGAAAATCCAGTAGCTCGATTAGGAGAATCTAAGATTTACCTATAAGGAGGGAAAAAAATAGTAAAATATAAAATTTCTGATTCAAGCTTAAGAACTTTATTGTCACTATGCATACTTCCTGAGGTACCCAGTACAAGCTGAACCTATGAAGGAGACATAAGTAAAAGGGAAGGCGACAGTACAGGGTTTTGAATTTGAGAAGCATGTCAGTTGTGGTTGTTGATGATAGGGGTACCCACCAAACAAAACAGTTTTGCCAAAAAAGGTCAGAGAACTGCAACCTGTCTTTCTTAATGACACACAGTAGTACTCTAAAATCAGAGCTAAGATTAATAGAAATATAAGACATCAGGGAGAAAGACTGTGTAAGTGGGTTACCTAAAGAGTACAAAGTTTTCCCCATACAGACTAATGGATCACTTTTATAATTCATTCAAAATATTCTTTAATTTTTATATTATTTTCTGCCAAAGATTAGTGCACATATTGAGATGGGTGGATTATCCGCAGATTTTTCTGATATTCTTTTTTATCTTCTCATCGCCCCGTGTGTACTACATTCTGCACATAGTGGGCACTTTGCAAATACATGACTAAGTTGCACAAATTTCAGCTTTTTGTAGAGTGAAGACATCCCAGTAAACCAAGAGAGTTGGAAAGGTTGGGAAAGTGAAAAAATATTTTCCTTCGAAAAAAATGACCAGAATCAATAATTTGCTTTGTAATGCTGGAAGAACAGGGTTTTCCTCCACAGAGGGGTCCCTTGGTGCTCAGAGCTCTGTGTGAAGTTGGCTACCTCCACTGCTGCCTTGGGGAGGTAATTTGGCTCAGGGATTCAAGGAGCTGCAGCAGAGCTAATGCTGAGGAAGAGCAGGTGTCATTTGGGGCTCTTCCTTAAAGAACCTTCTCAGGGCCCATAGGATAAAATATTCTTGCCACCAGGAAGGACCAAGGAGCCCTTCTAATTTTTTCTGTTGCCCACATAATACCACTAGCATGTGAGGAAAAGCTAATAGCCTAAGTTCTGAACTTCCCAGTCCTTTCCATTTGCAGTCTCATCCTGGAAATTTCAGCAATATCCACAGACCTGAAAGTGCCCTTCTGTGGTCACATTATTATGGCAATCTTAACAGCCAGTCTGGATCATGATGTAGTCAACCTGATTGAGTCAGGGAAAAGGGCCATTATGGTGGCTGCAAAGTACTCCAAATTAATGGACTGTCCAGAAGCTAATTCAAGGGCAATACAGAAGCAGAGACTGTTTGAATATATTCATGGTATTATTCCTCTTCCCTATAACAGACAAATCATTCTTGAGCCAGCAGCTAGGGCTGCTAACCTTTAGATACCATAATTTACATAGCAAAACACAGACTGTGTTTTGTTAACTCAGCTAGGCTCTATAAATTGTGATACCAGAGGCTAGCATTCTGTGCCTTCATGAAGTTGGCACCATACTGGGAGATCGAGATCCAAGTCAACCACCCCTGCCCTTCACTGTGGAACCTGGGGAAAGTCACTCAGGCTCTCCAGCCTGATTCATCTTTCATACAAGGGAGATAATAGTACTTCATATTCCTACCTTGAAGGGCGAGGATCAGGTGAGATAATATATTAGAAGTACAGGAAATGTATTACACATGGAAATGTAGGGTAATGTCTAGAAACATTCCTTCCTGGTTTGGCGTGTCTTCTTCTCCCTGTTCTCCCTCCCATTCGTTTAGCTAAGCTGTCCTTGCTCATTGCCTTAGGGTGACAGCAGGGAGATAGGGGAAAAGAGGCCTCTTTCTGGCTTTGAAATTTCAAGTCTTGTCCATGAGGGAAATGGGAAGGACTAACTATGGGCAAACAGCCTGGAAGGAAAGTGAAGTCGCACATCTCAGCTCTCCAGAACAGATGGGGATGCCCTGCGCTGGGGCAGGGTTGAGGGGGCAGTCACATAGGCTTTCTCACTTGGGCCCAGGTGGCAAAACATGCAGACCTTTGTGGGATCCAAGAAACTGAGGGGACCTAAGAAATGGTGTTGTTGAAGAAAATGCAGGACAGTGTCTTTCTTCCTTGGCTGAGCTCACTGAGCACCTTCCCTGTTTGTACCACGTGCCGTGCTGCCTCAATGCCAGGGTTTTCTCTGCTGCCCTGGAGTCCTCTGGGACACTCTGGGTCTCTGGGCAGTCTCGGCTGTCTCTGTTTACTCCAGTTCCATTCAGATTCAACTCAGAAAACATTGATGGCATTAGCTAGTTGATCATGGTGTTCCTAGAAGAGAAATAGGAAGTTTACTAAAGTCTTACATGATCTGTATAAGCAGAAGAGGTCTAGGTCAAGTGAACAAAAGTGTAACTGGAATCATAAAAACAGAGTCATGGCTTTCAGTCAGTTCCCAGACTTGAGCCCATTGACAGACCCAGAACTCCTTGAATGAAGGGGAGACTGGGACCTCTTGTGGAAGGGCCTTAGGTACATGACTAAAAATTTGTAATGTTAATCTTTCTCCCAGCCTTCCCCAAGGGATCTATGGCCTTCTACCAGGGTAACTGCATGAGGGAAAAGGAAATAATCAGATGTTTAGGGGCTTACTAGGCACTGGCTCTGAACTGACATGGATTCCAGGAGACCCAGAACTTCCTTGTGGCCCCCCAGTCACAGTAGAGGATTGGGGGAGTCATGCGATTAACAGTGTTAGCTCAGGGTCATCTCAAAATGCGTGCAGTGAGTCCCTGCATACACCCTGTGGTTATTTCCCAGTTCCAGAATGCATAATTGGAGTAGACATCACAACTGACAGATTCTCACACTGGTGCCTGGGTACCAGCTCCGTACCCTGGGAATTTCAGCAGGGAAAGAGAATTTCTGGGTCCCAATCCAAGCCCTTCATTTTACAGAAGAAGGTTTACTGATGGAACCAGGAATAACAGAGCTGGGACTTCAGTTGTAATGATGTCCTTTTGAAGTTGCCACTCTGTAAACAAGCAAACTGTGCATGCCGAATCTGAAGTTAAGATGCCTTCATGTTATCTTATTGCAGATGCCACAGGTTTCCAGCTACTCTATCTTATTTCATTGTGGAGGCATCATTAGCAGCACTGCCCTATATTTCTGCTTCTGCCTATAAAGGTGATTTGCAGGTGCTCTTGTTTTAGCCTGAGGGTTATGATTTTATTGCCTCTCAATGTGCTAGCCTCTTAATTTACCACACCAACTCATGAGTGTATTTTCTTAGAAACATGAGTATGTCCAGCTGCCATATTCCTTGTGACTTTAAAAATTTATTCATTACAAAGAATGCTTTTCCTTCCAGGGACAAGAGTGTCCCTTGGGAGCGAGGAGGCATGCACCCACCTATTACTCACCTCTCACTTTCCTAAGTGGTCCCACACCAGGCACAGACATCCCATCTTCTCTTCTGTTACAGGAAATTAGAAAGATGAGAAATGAAGTTGACACCACTGATTCATTTTCATTGGCCCCCAAATTAAATTATTTGTTTCCAGCCACTGTTAATTATGGGAATGATAATGCTGCAGATGTCGGCAATGTCAGAGTCTGGAGCTCCTGCCTGAGGGCCTGGCCCTACTAAGCAGAAGGGTCAGGAGAAAAATATAACAGCAACAGAAATTAAAATGAAATTTCAGTGCCTCTGTATACTGTTCAGTGAATGAATAGTCATTCCTCTCTTTGCAAATGGAGCTTCACAAATGCATACGTCATAGCTACTTGGAATATCCATCCATTAACTGTGTCAAGTTATATAACCAGAATTCTGGGCTTTGTAGAAATGATCACTACTAATAGGAATTCTTCAGTGTTTTATATGTAGCATCTCATTTATTCTTATGACATTTTAAAATAATTAAGTATGCAAAAATATGCCTTTT